AGATATTGGATGTACATTAATTGGACAGAAATCCAACGACAAAATCAACAAAACAACATTTTAAAAGCTATATTTTGTATTCAACGATAGGCAACTGTCCTTGCAATATATCAAGTCCGAAATCGTCCCGAGTCTGAGTCCCCCCCCCCCCCCTGGATCCGCCTATGAGAATGTGGCGGGTTAAACATGTTTGCTGGCGCCAAACCCTTGAAAAAGGCTATATATATAAGTACGTCTAAACAAGTGAAAACTATACGACAGATCCATCGATTGGATCACCCATGAAGGTGATACACGGCTGAAAACACATATTATATTCATAATTACTCTAAATATCAGCACAAAAATGTTAAATCTGCAAATTTGCTTCTTCCCTCGCCGGGATTCGAACTCATGCTATTTGGATATCGTGACACCACCGCTTGCACTGTGTCCAGCGCTGTAGACTACTCGGCCACCTAGACTGAACTAATTCAGCTTTCGCTGGCCTAATGTTACCTTTTCTCGTCAGTAGAATCTAGATTTGAAACACAGTGCATGATATATTAGGCATGGAGATGGAATTGATTGCAGATTAGCTAAATTATCTGTCGTAAAGGATCGTAAGATGCAGTCACAGAAATAATTATTTGATAAGTAAGTCTAAACAAGTGACAACTCTACGACAGAATCATCCATTGGATCACCAGGTAAGGTGATACACGACTGAAAACACATTATATTCATAACTAATATATATATATATATAAAGTGCCTAGAAAATCAACCTAACAATGTTAGAGTAGATCTGATTCTTTACTTCCTATAAACAAACTATAAAAATCAGTTAAAAAGGGCTTAATTCATCAGATCGATACAAAGCACAAACATACTCTTAACAAAAACACAAAAGACACAAAGTACAAAACTAAGAGTACTCGCAGTTACTGAAAGCTAGTTCAAAGTCAATAACAACTAATAAAAAATCATGTTTCAAAGACTAAACTATCAATCAGTACACATCCAATATCCGGATGTTTATTTCTCCAGATTCTATAAGCAATAGGTCAACTTTATTTGGTGTATGAAATAATAGCAAAGTTGTAGGGTTCATCTGACCTTGACCTTAGATTCCTGGTTCATTGTCACCATTTAGTTTTCGTGATTAATTCTGTTCCTTAGATACTATAAGTAACAGGTTAACAATATCTGGTGTATGGAATGATTGTAAGGTATTAATGTCCATTTAGCAGGGTTCATCTGACCTAGACCTAATTTTCATGGATCATTGATAATGTTAAGTTATGTAATATTTCTAGTAAAACCTTTATCTTGATTAAGTACATTTCATCGTGTGCACTCTTGTTAAAGAATATCTGTATTTGACGTTAACAATACATTGGCGATAAAAAAAATGAACGAATTTCGATTTAACGAGTTGGAAAGAATACACAGAAACATATGACATATTGCCTGTTTGGTCCGAGAAGGCCCCCAAAAGAGAAAAATATTCCTCCTATTAATTGCAAAAAAATGATGTTAACCAATCCTTTCAATTTTGTTTAAAATTTTATTAATCTCATCTGTCTTTACGTCATTTGGTTCCTGATGGAAAATAGTCTGTTTGGATATTATACCACATCTTCTATTTATAATGACAAAGTAAAAACAGTGTTTTCTTTTAATTCTCTCATGCTTGATCAACAATGTGTTGTTTTACATGTAGTCAATAATACGTTGGCGATTTAAAAAAATAATTTGATAACAGATATTTGTTTTCCTTATGAAACAAACAAATGTAATGTTATATATATTTTGTCACGTTTTTACTTGTGATTCTGATCTATCCATTACCGTGTGCGTTTAAAATGTCTATACAAGCAAACCGAATTTAAGTCAATAAAATAGCAATAAAATTTTATTTTCACAGACATCCGTGTACTTTAAAAGATAATGTAAGTACATACCACTATTCAAACGAAACAGGTTTGGACGATACTTTGAAATGTTCGAATTCATTTCAAATGTATTTTTAAATTTATACAGTGTATATATGTAAAATTCAATTCCAGTTACTTATATTTTAAAAAGGAGACGATAACAAGGCGGCGATCAAAACCCGTTAGTCGAAGAAGAAAAAAGACCCCGCTATGGTCATAAGAAAAAAGACAATAGACAAACAAAAGTTAAAGTACACTACACAGAAAAGTGCAGATATAGCAACACGAATCCCGCCAAGAACAGGGATGAACTCGGGGTGCTGTAATTATGTATGCAGTTCTTGCTCCACAGAATGGCAATCGTCGCGTTGTTCATATACTTATAATATAAAGGCAGTGGCTATTCTTCCGGCTAGCCGGAACAATAGCAAAAAAAGTCTATTCTTTCGGCTATCCGGAAGAATAGTTTTTCTCTGCTATAATGCTTTTATTCCGGCCATACATAACTATGAATGATGAATATGCATTTGGTTAAATGGTTATTGTAGCATCCAATGGAGAATGAAGTGGCAAACAATTTCCTCCCATGAAAACACTGAGAATTGGAACTATTCATTTTTGGCACGTTCTCCGCGCGTGCGTTACTGATTTTAAACTCAAGATATAACGTTCTGGAACATAGTAATAATAAAAAAAAGAATAAGATAGAATTATAGATTATCGTTGATCATCTCAACGAGATTGATTTAAGCATGGAAGTATTATATTGACAAAATAATACTTCCATGATTTAAGCAATCTCGTTGAGATGATCAACGATAATCTGTTTATCGCTATTTTACCTATGACGACGTTGTCAATTTCATGTCAATTTCATTAGCAACGGCACGTGCCCCCTTAGTTTCTAGCGATAATTTTCATATCACTCGACTCCGCTGAGAAAGGAAATTATCAGTCAGTAAGATCAAAGGAAATTTTCGTAAAATAGCGATAAACAGAATTATCATGAGATTAAACTCCTTAAGTACCAACTATGAATTATTTTTCTACTGGCTGTTCTATGGAACACGCCGATTCCCCGTAAATTAAACAGCTTGTCGAATGAGATCAAAAGAAGAATATCAACATCGATTGATTTGCAGCATATACACTTCTGAATTAAAGTAGCTTTGCTAAAAATTGTACATAAAAGTTTCCATCTACTAAAACAAGTCAAAATGCAAATAAATTTACTTCATAGTATACAGCATATTCAGATTTTTTTTTTATTCTAGGGGAAAAAAAGTGGGGGGGGGGCAAAAATGCCTCTCCTCTTTTCATATTCTATCTATGAATTTCCTGCAAGGTTAGGAGTCGGGCCACTGATTTATGGCTCCTATGATTCCAAAAGAAGATCCTCAATTTATCATTCCCTTGAAGTTTGGTTCCAATGAAGTCGGCAAATGATTTTGCACGATTTTTTTATTTTTAATGTTGTGATTTTTCAAACAAAGAAAGAAATGGTAGGCACATGTAAATTGCCCCTAAAGTAAGATTGTGTTTATGATAGCAAAAATATAACATTTTTTATTGAGAAAAATAAATAAAACAGAATGAAATAAAAGGGGTGGGGGTTATACCCCAACCATGGTATACTATTCCCAGTCCAGGCATATCAGTGCATGTTCATAAATCTCCGTTCTAGTAGAACTTATAATTAATGCATCCAAGTATATTTGATTTAGTCGTTTTCCTGGGAATTGTTTATATGCGTTTTGCCTCCATTGATAGAGGTAAAGGTAATGGGTAAATCAGCAATTTCAGTTTGATTTCACGCTTTATTTCTCTCAGTTTACGTGCACACGTTATTGTACTGGAGTCTGTCCTATAGAAATTTGTTTTTTAAAGCAATCAGATTCTCTAATATTATTTAGGACATCTTTAAATATAAATCACGATCTCCAACTTTCAAAACGTCCATTGTATAATACGCGCGTTTGCAATCGACACCTCATCCGGGACACTTTCTGCGCCACATGCCACTGCTATTGATATTGAACATTTGCGCATGCGCAAACGGTTTGCCGAAAAAATAGAGATTTTTAACTATTCTTCCGGCTAGCCGGAACAATAGACACTCCGTAATATAAAAGACATTGACTAAAATAACTTCATGATTACAATGAATAATGTCTTTGTTCACTGGTGTCTTGACGTCCGTACCCGCATAGTATGAGCTATACCGTATTGAAAGCACTGGTAGTATTTTGCAGGTATTAGAACGGACTTCGAAATGGCGGTTTCATTTTTCCTTGACATTAAAATGCAAAATTAACGAATTTAGACGACAAACGGAATATGTCACGACAAAGTCACGTTTGTAATCTGATTAGACAAAATCGGCTGAATTTCCCGGATGCCGAATGTTACGGTACGCACCTTACTGCATGTTTGGAGTGCATGGCCGACCATTTCCGATCCATAGGACTCTATTACTGCGTTCAGACAATGAAAGGACATTCCAGATTATTGAGGATGGTAATCCAACTTTTTCACTTTTCGTGTCGTAGTGCTGTCTAATCTCAAACGGGAGCCATAATCGGCTATGTGTGACGGTCAAATTACAAAGTGATAAATATGTCAACAACTTATTTCTGAAGTTAAACCAAAACAGAAAAAATACATTACATTGAACAGATGATTGAATATTGATACACTGTAATGTCATGAAAGGTTATAAATGCAAGCGGATAAAAACAAAAATAGGGAAAAAAAAGTATAATCAGTAGAATAAAACATTTATCTCACTTCGCCTTGGGATAAAGGCCATTTGTTCACCATGGAAAAGTCATATTTCCTTGCGTCAATGCCCTCGAGTAATATGATTTTTTTGGGTGAACAAATCTGTTTATGTCCCCACGGCATGCAAAATAAACTGTATAATATACCCCAAGGCATCTAATCTTTACAGGTAATGATAACCAGAATCATTCAGTCGGTACATTTCGCTGCTCTAAGATGGCAATATTAGCGAGTGCGAGAGTCGATCAGGTAATGATAACCAGAATGATTCAGTCGGTACATTTCGCTGCTCTACGATGACAACATTAGCGAGTGCGAGAGTCGATCACTGAGAGTGAGTGGATTATTCAGGTTGAAATGATGACCAGTGATTAGGTCATTCTACGTAATCGTGAATGGTCAATGAAAAATCAAGTCAAAGACTTATGGACTTGTACCTACATGTAAACATAAACAAGTACGTGTAGCGTCGGATCAGTTCTTATTTAACACACAATTAATTAGGCTATCTTGGAGTAAAGTTCTTGGAAATGCAGAATTTAGTCTGTAATTTATGGACTGTTGGAAAAGTTGTCACGGTAGGTTGTGTTTTTATATTATCCGTTACATGTATATACAAAGTAAATAAGATTAATTATTGATACTTGATATTCACATGTTGTTTACATGATATAAAAGTGACGTTATGTAAACCCCAAAATGATTTTACTTTAAACAAATTTTCTGTTGAAATATGTCTCTCTTTTTTTGTATAATTTTGTTTTCCTCTATAATAATAAAACTCATTATGGGGTGAAGGTGGAATGTAATGTAAAAACTTAACGGATTGAACCTTACGATTCCTGTAAAACTGGTCGTATATTGTCGGAAATAAATATAACATAAGGAGATGCGGTATGATTGCAAAATGAGACTACTACCCAACAGAGTCCAAGACTCCAACTAACGTGAATTTAAGCAATTATAGGTTGCCACAAGTCCTTGACATAACAATGAGCAAAACCCATACTGTAAAGTTAGCCCTATAACATATGACCTAACATTTTATTTCATTTTGAACGTTTTTATGCTGACATTTTCATTTTTCTCTTTTTTAATGCTTGGTAGGCACATTGATAGCAAAACTAGGTAATAGAAAGTAACAAATAACAAATAGCAAAATAAGTAAAAAGAAAATGAGTAGTAAAAATCTGTTGGAAATTGCTTGACTCACCAAATCGATCAGAAGCAAAAAGAATACCCTAAAAACAACTGACATACAGACAAAAGACACAAAGTATACCGATCTTACAGTACACATGGTAGTTCATATTCTTCATGATTAAAGTACCAATCAGTACACATCCAACGGATTTAGTGTAAAGACGTCGTAAACATTCTGAGAAAAATATAACTAAGTGCAATGCTTAAATATACGTACATAATATTGACAGGATGTAGGACCATAAGTTCTCATAAATAACAAGCAATACATGTTTAGTTATGTTTTAATTTTGAAAAAACAAAATCAATGTAAATATCGATACAAACCATATTAAAAGATAGTATTACGGTGTTAAAAATGAGTATAAATGATTGCAACTACTTATCAGAACCACGATAAAGAGAATACGTAACTCACAAACTGTATTTTAACACATACCCTTATCTTAGATATATGCATTCATACAATCATGTTATGCGTTTTAGACTGAAGTAGCAGGACATAGTGTTAGCATGATGAATTCTATACAGACATGGAGAAAGGTCAGTCACATATTTGTCTATTCGTTCTGTATGTTCTTTTTTTGTTTGGGATAGTCTTTAGGATATTTGATAGAATACTAGTAATCAGGAATACTAAACTATTTCAATTTCCAGTCCTAATCCAGGGATGAGTGAAATTATCCAAATGTTTTGTTGTATTGTGTTTTAGTTTTACGACATATGATCTAGATATATGCAAAGGGGATCGTTTCTTGCCATTTGTGCCTCTCTGATTTCTAACATTTGGACTTTAAGTTATTTCTACAATTTATGTTCAATTAAAAATTTTAGTCATAGTGTTTTGAATAACTTTCTGAAACATTGAATTTAATTCAGATTTAGTAAGTCACTATTTGTTTCTAAATTGTGCCAAAAAAGTGGAAAGTGATTATGTTAACCTAGTGACAATCTTTTCAATATCCGTTTTTATCAATTCTTGTCCAGTATATGTCTAATTACGTGGTGTCATCCTGGTTTGCCCACTTTTAATTACATGCATATGTAAACATAGGGGGAATTGTTGTTTTAACAATTTTAGTTTAATTCCGAATTATAGTCATATTTTTTACCTTTTATTTTACCTGTAAAATTTTATAAAAGATACTGTTTTCTGCTATTAAATCAAGGAAAATGTGCAAAAATAATTTATATTTGATTTAGTTTATAGCAGGAAAATGTATTGAATTTGACAAATAGACAAAAATGTTTATTATTTGTACAATTTATCAACAAATAGTTTTAATTGTTGGTATATTCTGGAAAAAAGTAAAAACTAAAGATAAGAATAAATGTCATTTAAATTTATTTTTATTTATTCAACTTATTTTTTTATAATTTTAATAAATACACTGTTCTGAAATTTAATATAAAAAAATCCCATTAATTCTAACAAATAGAATATAAATGCAACTGTTCAGTAGCCGCTTTTTATAGAACCACTACTACACAGAAGGACCCCGCACTACCAATCACCTGGAAGGATGGCACAACAAAATTAAGTTACATATAGTGCCCCATATTACCTATTTTACCCTAGTGCTTTATTCATTTCTTTTAGTATGCAATGAATTTATAAACTTGATTCATATATTATATAAATTATGTTTGCAATAAAAGAGAACTTATATTGGTGTATTTAAATCATTAAAATCAGTCAGAAACTATTGAATTATTAAGACACCTTTATAACTGCATGTCATTGTTTTGTACATATATGTTAAATGAATCGATTGAAATGATATTAAGTTATTGAGAGAAAATTTTTTGATTTATTTATTATTTTTCTATACAAATGAAAATGGAATTACAAAATAAAAAATACTGAATATATAGAATGATAAACTTAGGTATATAGAATGATAAACTATATACCTAAGTTGGAACAGACTATACAATTGTATGCTCATTAAACCTTTTGTCTTTTTTGTTTTCTTTACTGATAGATAATTGGTATACTTAAATGTGGGCAAACCAGGAGTAAACCAATTACGTGACATTAATCAATTTTTCAATCATCGTCTATTTGTAAATTTTCTCAATTTTATTGTGATGTAATTTATTTGTACACACACAAATTCATTTCTTTCTTTTATCTAAGCCAATTTGGCAATGATTATAGATGTCGATTAACATGATTTCTAAATAAAATTGTTTGTGACATCACTCAGGCCTGCTAACATGTTTAATCTTTCTACATTCCCATTGAATATGGTAAAAATACCATGGCTAAGAAAAATGTTTAAAACAGCTTTTTCAACATGTTTTATTCATACCATATACTTATTGGAGCATTATTATCATATTTAGTAATTTGAATAGCTATGATTTTTAAAACCTGATGTACCTCTAATAGGAAGGGGGGTTCATTTTTGCATGGGAAGGGGGGTTACATTACCATGTCTATGAAAAAATGTTATAGTCGCTTTATCAACTTGTTTTAAACATGCCAAAATACTTGTAGGAGCATCACCATTATATATTATAGATACATAACAATAGTTATAAATCTGAGGTTTATAGGTAGGAGGGGGGGGGGGGGGGGCTAATTCTCCATGTTAGAGGGATCAAAATACCATGGCTAAGTAAAATTGTAAAAACACCTTTTCAACATGTTTTATTCATACCATATATACATATTTTGAGAGATTTTTTTCTTTAAATAGGATTTCTATAAAAAATGATATATAGGTATTTCCATTCTCAATTCTATATCCTGATATCAAGTTATTTCATAGTGATTGAAAACCCCTTCCATGGAAAATTGAACCCTATATCCTAATATGTCAAACCTTGAATTTATAATAGCATTTACACAACTTTAACTAGTTATACTGCTGTAACAGAGACATAACTGCACTTAGTATCCTAATGGAAAAATATGTTTAAAAAGATTTTATAATCCCTTTTTAGCCATGGTATTTTGGCCCCCCTACCATGGAAAATTTAGCCCCCATCAGATTTTAAAATTTTAATTTATGACACCATTTTAACTTCTAATACCATTATATATTGTTCAAATTAGTATCTTGAATGAATAGACAGGGGGATTCAATTTTCCATGGGTGTTCAATTTTTGTCAATCGTTTACAAAATTTCTTACCATGTGTACAATTAATGAATTTATCGGAAAATAATAACATTTTTGTTGTTGTTGATTTTTTTTGGGCGTGGGGTGGGGTCTCCACCGATGATTTGAAAATAAAAGAAATATGTTCCTTCCCTGGTTATTTGAATCACAACTTTATACTTATCTTCTTGAATTTCAGAAGCGTACTGCCTATGAGGAATTATCACCCGACGAAGAAATTCACAATATACTAAATATGTACTCCGCCGAGGAGCTAGGACACAAAGCAGAGAGGTATTTAATGAACCTACGGACTGATATACTAGATATCGCAGCAGAACACGACAATGCTATCAGAGTTCAGTTATATATATTCAGGAACTCACATTCGTTTGGATCTGGACGGAACTGCATTGTAATAAATATTACAGACTCCGACATGAAAATAAAAACAAATCAGCCGGCATCGCCAAAGAAAAAGACACCTCGTGGTTAAAGTCTTTCTGTCAGATGGGCCAATAATACAAAAGATGCTTTGAAAAGAATATCGTCTTTTAATTTCTTGTGATATTTATTAAGTGTAATAGTTAATTTATATTGTATACACACATCGCATTTGTAAAGCTACCCTTTCCTTTGTTGTCAATTACAAGGAGGCCCAAGCCCTTAGAAAAAAACAAAAACAAAAATAAACAAATCATAAAAATAACAAATAACAAATAACAAAAAATAAAACACATCCCAAGAAACACATCATCCATCCATAGTGTAAAATATTAAAGGATAACATTGTGAATAAATCTAAAATAGACTATCACAGATCTATCATCAAAATAGACTATCACAGATCTATCATTAAAATAGACTATCACAGATCTATCATCAACAGCCAACCTATTAAATGACAAAACATTCAGATAATTGTATAACTAAAATGAGATTTGGTATGTACACTAAAGAAACAGCAATCCAACCACAAAGTAAAAAAACGACATCTGAAAGGTAATATTCTGCATTCAACGATAGACAACTGTCTATGCAATATGTCATCTCTAAATCGTCATGAGTTTAACTTAGAGACTCACAGGAGCATGAATTGTTCAACGACGAAAAAGCAAAATCAAAAGCTCCATTGGAAGCCATTTTTCACAAACCAAATACGATTGTGACCAGGTTTGATTCAGATCCACTCAGAGAATATTTAATAGAAAGGCATTGATTTTTAAATGTTTAACGTCCCCATTCTGACCGGACGTGGCTGCGTATCAATACATCCCGCAAACCTGCTTTTCCCAGGGTTCTACGGCTGAACGACTGTGTTTTGTGTACTGCTGTTTGTCTTTTGGTCTTTTTCGTTTTTAGCAATGGCGTTGTCAGTTTATTTTCGACTTATGAGTTTGAATGTCCCTTTGGTATCTTTCGTCTCTCTTTTGTTGTTGTTTGCATATTCAGGACAAAGTTGTATGATGATCAATGACACAAAAGATTTGTTTTCAACGAATACTAATGATACACATGATCGATTTGATTTAGTCTGCTTAACTTCTAGTGCCAAAAAAATATTAAGGAGATGTGGTATGATTGCCAATGAGACAACTATACACCAAAGTTCAAATGAAGTGGATGTAAGCAATTATAGACAATCGCAAGGCTTCAAAAATTAGAAAAAACCCATACCGTATAGTCGGCTATAAAAGACCCTGACATGAAAAATATGAAACAATTCAATTGAGAAAGCTAACAGCCTAATTTATAACAAAACAATTTGCGAAAACAAATACTAGTATGACGGACATGAACCAAAGATAACCACTGAACTGCAAACTCCTAACTTGAGACAGGCACATACATAATGTGGCGGGGTAAAACTAGTTAGCTGGCCAAACCCTCCCCCTGTCAGGATTTTCAATCTTAAATAATAAATAAGGATACTTTCATGATGAATGATGTTAAAAATCTTGACAAATAACGTGAACGGTCATTTTTGTCTCGCCTGCGATGGACATGCGAGGCATAGGGATGCCTATCCGACGACGGCGGCGTTAATTATTTTGTATAAACTATATATTTTAAAACTTCATACCATATTTTACGAAGTTTCCGTCTGTCTTTTGTCTATTGTCATTGACCTCATTTTCAAGGTTCAACAACTGCTAAAACAGTGTCTAGTTTTTTGTCACTTGAATTTCTCACTTTTTATGAAAAATCAGATAACTAAATGAAGGGTATGGGATCACTGAAAGGTATTTTTCTACAGGGTTCACCTGAAATTGACCTCGATTATTTCAAGGATCAGTGATCAAGGTTTGTGTTCGGGGTCAAGTCCGTATCCCAGATACCATACGCATTAGATCAACTATATTTGGTGTATTGAAGGATTGTTAGTTGAATATATCTGTCTGTCAGGATTCACCTGACCCGAGAACACAGTTATTGTGTAGTGCATTTCTTTAGAACAATAAATAAAAATTAAAAAATTCGCACATATACTTTTACAGTGTGGTATGTTACTTTTGGAACAAATTACAAATGCATATCAAAATTATAGAAAACTTCATGAGCCTGGCTAAAAATATGGGCAATCTTATGTTAAGGGGTCTTGAATTCAGGTTGACAGCTTCAGACATGCTCATTTTTCACCTTTTTTAATAACTGCACCAAATCACTACGTTACCTTAAAATTCTTAATTTTTTTTACACTGCAATTTCTCCTCCTACTTGCTACTTGATTCATAAAACATGAAGAATTGAATTTGGAAAGTGTTTGAAAAACAAATGTAATGCACTGTTCACACTTGGGACTATATTCTTAGTAGGCAAAAGGCGATGACTGTGTTCCCGGAACATCTGAACATCTTTTCAGGGTTCATTTGATAACGATTGAAGTGGTTCTGGATGTTTCTTAGATAATATACGCCGTAGGTCAACTTTATTTGGTGTATGGAATAATTGTAAGATGTGATGTCCGTGAATCATGTTTCGTCTGACCGTGACCTCATTTTCACCTTTCATTGGTCAATGTTAAGTGTCATGGTTTTGTCATTTCATGAGATACTGTAAGCAATAGGTCAGCTATACTTGGTGTATGGAATGATTGTAAGGTGTTCATGTCTGTCTAACATAATTTATCTGACCCTTACCTCGATTTCATGGTGCATTGGTCAACGCTGTCAGGGTGTGTACTCTTGTTGCTGAGTATCTGTATTTGACGTAAACGATAAATTTTGGGACGTGACGATAAAAAACAACTTTATGAAACACTTTCGCAGTAACCTGTTGGAAAGGAGGCACTGAAAAACATCACATATTCGCCTCTTTGGTCAGAAGCACGTGGTCAGAAGTGGCCTCCAAAAAAGTATTATGCATATTTGTTTCTGACAATCAATCCTTTTAATTATGTTTAAATTTAGTTTATTTCATTTGTCTTTTTTGATACTCTCATTAATGATCACTTGGTGTTATCCATGTCGATTTTGTTTTAAATAACAGATAATAGTTTTTCCCTAATGAAACAAAAAATGTACCGTTATGGATGGTGTGTCTTGTGTTTACTCGAGATTGTGATCAATTGATATCCATGTGCTTTAACATGTCTATACGACCAAACCGTATTTAATTCATTAAACCTGTAATAAAATTTTCATTTTCACAGACATTCGTGTACTTTAAAGCATACTCTCAGTGCTTAAAATATTTAAACGAAGCAGCATTGGTCGGTACTTTTACATGTTCGATATATTAATACACGTTAAATGCCCATTTAGAAAAAAAAAACATAACAGGAGACGATAGTAAGGTGGCAATCGAAAATCAAAAGAAAAAACACTCCACCATGGCCTAAAGAAAAACAACAAAAAGGCAAAGAACAATCCACGTATACAACACATAAAAGTAAAGTTTTAGCACCACGAACCCCACTTAAACAGGAGGTGGACTCAGGTGCTCCGCACGTGTAAACAGTTCTTGCTCCAAAAGTGACAACCGTCGTGTGATCATATATTCGTCAAAAACATTACATTACCTAAAAAGTCTTCATAATTATAACAATGTCTTTGTTCCATTACCAACTTGACGTCTCTACTTGAATAATAAGAGCTACGTTGAAAACATAGTATTTTGAAGCTATTGGAACGGACATCATTTCTCCATGATGATGAAATCAAAATCAACAGAGTTTGACGAAACACGGTATATTTTCCAATTATTACGATAACGGTTAGATATTTAAGACATCGTGCTCAAGGATTTGTTGACACTTGACGGTAAAGGATATTCCTACCCTCATAAATTATCCCGATGAAAGGTGAAATTTGGAGTGCTACTGGAAAAGGAGGGACGGAAACTTTACGTTGCAATAGGTCACATAATGGAGAAATGCACGTTTGGGTGGCTAATTGATGAAACATTTGGGCTAATGGCAAGTCGATATTGGGGCTAAATTTTAAAGTTGACATTTGAGCTAATCCTTCCATGTACGTGTATCTTCATTTTATTTATACATTAACATTCTATATGTAATAATTGGCATTGTATTTATACATTAACATTCTATATGTAAGAAATGGCATGGTATTCATAACATGTTCTTGTTTTATATACTAGTAACACTTCCGATTGCCAGACGGTGCTTGCTCACCACTGGGAGGTAAACGTAGGATTTTTAGTAACATAAGTCTATAGCACTAAATATTGTTCAAAACTAGGGACAACGTGAAGGTATAAAACAGCTATAGGATAAGATATAAAAAGTATATTCAATAGATTTTTTCAAAGATTGGTTAAGGCTGGGACATAATATATTGTCAGCATACTATTATAGGTCCAGGTCCTGAATTTATAGCTAATAGTCTTTAAAAAATATAATCTTGTGATACTGCCTGATCTTGACTGTAAACTCCTTCCATTAAGTGGTGCAAAACTTCAAGTTCTTTTTTTTCAAACAAGCATGATTTCCTAATGACCGAATTTTTATGTAGGTAGTATTTTCAAAATAATATTTTAATACATATCTGACATATTTCATATTTGATAAATTTTACCTGTAATGTACCTGTACAGATAAACAAAAATAATTAGCCCAAACGTAAACTTGACTCCAAAATTTTTAGCCCAGGTGATACTATGGCCACGAAACGATTTAGTCAAAATGTCTTGCGCTCACATACTGGCCCCCTTCCTCAAATTATTGCAAGGGTCTTTTAACGACAGAGGGTGAAACAGTGATTGTAACCCTTTACATGACAGGACTTCGACTTTAACGTCCCAATTCCGAATGCACACCATTGATCAAATGAAAACATAAACATATAATCCTGATTTTGACTGTTGTGAAATTTCAAATTAAATTGCACATTTGCAAAAACCATACGCACAAGTAGTCAGTGGGGTTTTCAATAGAAGAAGCATACCTCCTATAAAAGCAGAATCCATATAGATTACTCCCGGAAACACACTTGAGACCGGATGCAGACATCTTGTGAATATTTCACCAAAGTTTGAATGACATAGATTAATTGGTTAATAAGTAACTTGGAATGAATGATGCACCTACATCTAGTCGATAAATGTGTGTGTAGTAACTTGGAATGAATGATGCACCTACATCTAGTCGATAAATGTGTGTGTAGTAGCTTGGAATGAATGATGCACCTACATCTAGTCGATAAATGTGTGTGTAGTAACTTGGAATGAATGACGCACCTACATCTAGTCGATAAATGTGTGTGTAGTAGCTTGGAATGAATGATGCACCTACATCTAGTCGATAAATGTGTGTGTAGTAGCTTGGAATGAATGATGCACATACATCTAGTCGATAAATGTGTGTGTAGTAACTTGGAATGAATGATGCGCCTACATCTAGTCGATAAATGTGTGTCCCAAGAAATCAACAGTTCCCTCACCTTTATAACCCTTTTTGTTAGATAGGGACAAATATAGATATTGAATAGAGACAACCTTTATGACAAGTGAACTGTGAAACATTAAATCAGCATGTCATTCTCCAATCTGTAAGATCCCAGTCTTTTATAAGTGTGATAAATTGTCGTGGACGACGACTTGAGTGGCAGACAGAACCCTTCTTGCTGGAACCAGAACTATGACTGTCTACATATTCAACGTGAAATACAGCCTGAAAGTAAAATTATATATACCAAAAAATTGACAATATTGATAGATGCTTCCAAATGCGTATGTTATAAGAAGCCATAATTAAGGGTGTTTAAAAAATTATTTTTCAGTTAACATTTCGCTTTCTTTTAATTACACGTTTGCATTTTCTATTGATCCTTGTTTGTAGGAATGTAATGAATATGTATTTTCAATTGTTGGATAAGCAGGAAAAAACTCCTCCGGCAGATTAAACAGAAAGGAACTTCTAAAGGATCCTACAGTCAAAACTTGGTAACAATTTCTAATAACTAAATTCTTGACCCTTTTTTAACAGTTGTAATTCATCTAAAAAAACTAGATAACAATCATTTGATCGATTGGTTATTATAAGCTTTTACCATCTAATGACTAAGATGAAGAACAAAGACGTGAATACCTTGTGTGCGTCTATAAATGGTTGGTATTTTTTGCATTCATTGTAATGAACACACTCTTCGTTCAAAGCCCAATCGAAATGTGATTCTAACTCCTGTATCTGGTCCACATCATTCTTCAAGCCCACTGAGAGCCCATGATTGTGTGCTTCTGGACAACAAAGATTGAAAAACAAATATCAATATGAATTACTAAGACATTTCATTGTAACTCGTTCACATATTTCTAGATATTACAATTCATATACGAGAGATTTTTATTAAATTGTCCTTATGGGTTTAATTTTAATATAAGTTATTTAAAATATAAGGATGATACTATATCCTTTCAAGAACTATTGAATTCTAATATTTGTTCAGTACACTTTTCTATTTATACATTTTCAAGGATAAAATAATCATCGTTCGCGATCAAGAAAAAAATTACAAAACTGTGAAGGAGATTAGGTTCACCTTTCACTTTCGGAAAGTTATAAAAATGTAGATACTTTTCCTTTCCTTATTTGCTTAATATCTACACGCGTCTGGCGTACAAACTTATAAGCCTGGTATCTTTGATGAGTATGGTAAGTAACCAGTTGGGACATATTTTGTTATATTAGTTGTCTCCCTTTCCAGTTTTTTTTATGCATAAACTAGTCTATAATCGTTAAATTTTTGTTTATTTTTGAAATAGTTCTTTATAAATAAAATCGTTTCATCCATTGCATTTCCAAGAAATCATCATGAATTATCATCCTTTTTATGTTTAAGATTTAAATACATATGCTTATTTTCATGATATCGGCCAGTAAGCTAAGCAGGACGACCAAGGTGTTTGCCCTGAAGTATCATGTAGTTCGGAACAACAATGATTGATTAGGGGTATCGAAATAGGATCATCCCTGGACTTCTCAAGTCTGACAGTAAATCCCTTGTAAAGTGGATCATCTGTTTGGCAATGCTGGATGTATAGATGACAGCCACGTCCTGTCGGAATGGGGACGTTAGATCACATGTATACTCGTGAAGGTAGAATGCCATACTCTGTGTACGCAAAAGAACTTATTCAACAACTCTCTGAAGGGCCCGTAGGTCGCCTGTTGCAAGGCAAAATTTCTGTCTCTATCAAAAATACCCTCATTTTCTAGTGGCAGTCCAAATGTCCCGCTCTTCATCCTGGTCGAACTACACGACAGAACCTGTACCTTCTGTATTAATTGTTAATTTGTCCTGGTCCTGAATATGCATGGAAAAATTGCCAACGGACGTTAAACAAGCAACAATCAATCATCAATCATATATGTTTATAAAATTATTAAAATGAATTATCAAGGAATAAGTCATGTAATCTCACTTTTGATCAATCTGATTAAAAAACAGATCATGTGTCAATGTTTGGCTTACAAAGCTTCATTGTAGGGGTCAGACCACCAATTCACCAACTCCAACTTAGAAAATATTTAAAAGTAGCCCTTCCCTGACAAAAATAGTGCCTTTGATGTCATTGTTCACTTAAACTAATCAAGAAATTTGCAGAAATGAAACTTTTGGTGAAAGAGAAATATATTTAGACCATTTTGAGCCAAAATTTACTTGTCCATGAGTTTGCATTAAAAATTGAGGATTAGTACGCTCAATAGTATACTTATTTAAGATTTCCAGAACACCAGGGGTTATTTTTAGTAGTAGTTGCCTTCCAAACGGTAGTATTTCACTACAAGACTTTTTAAAAACATTGGTTGAAACTTGGCATGTAGAAAGTTGATACATGTACAATTCAGGATATACCTGTTTTTTATGATGTTAAACTTAAGGTAAAATATTAAGAAAGCTGTGAAAATATTAAAATTTGTTGAGTATATAGGGATTTTGAATTGGTGGTCAGTCACCTGTAAGCGAAGTGTGGACACAGGATCTGTATTTCAACGAAGTGTGGACACAGGATCTGTATTTCAACGAAGTGTGGACACAGGATCTGTATTTCAACGAAGTGTGGACACAGGATCTGTATTTCAACGAAGCGTGGACACAGGATCTGTATTTCAACGAAGTGTGGACACAGGATCTGTATTTCAACGAAGTGTGGACACAGGATCTGTATTTCAACGAAGCGTGGACACAGGATCTGTATTTCAACGAAGCGTGGACACAGGATCTGTATTTCAACGAAGTAAGGACACAGGATCTGTATTTCAACGAAGTGTGGACACAGGATCTGTATTTCAACGAAGCGTGGACACAGGATCTGTATTTCAGCGAAGTAAGGACACAGGATCTGTATTTCAGCGAAGTAAGGACACAGGATCTGTATTTCAACGAAGCGTGGACACAGGATCTGTATTTCAACGAAGCGTGGACGCATGATCTGTATTTCAGCGAAGTGTGGACACAGGATCTGTATTTCAGCGAAGTGTGGACACAGGATCTGTATTTCAACGAAGTGTGGACACATGATCTGTATTTCAACGAAGTGTGGACACAGGATCTGTATTTCAACGAAGTGTGGACACAGGATCTGTATTTCAACGAAGTGTGGACGCATGATCTGTATTTCAACGAAGTGTGGACACAGGATCTGTATTTCAACGAAGTGTGGACACAGGATCTGTATTTCAGCGAAGTGTGGACGCATGATCTGTATTTCAACGAAGTGTGGACACAGGATCTGTATTTCAACGAAGTGTGGACACAGGATCTGTATTTCAACGAAGCGTGGACACAGGATCTGTATTTCAGCGAAGTGTGGACACATGATCTGTATTTCAACGAAGCGTGGACACATGATCTGTATTTCAACGAAGTGTGGACACAGGATCTGTATTTCAACGAAGTGTGGACACAGGATCTGTATTTCAACGAAGTGTGGACGCATGATCTGTATTTCAACGAAGTGTGGACACAGGATCTGTATTTCAGCGAAGTGTGGACACATGATCTGTATTTCAACGAAGCGTGGACACATGATCTGTATTTCAACGAAGTGTGGACACAGGATCTGTATTTCAACCAGAATGAATTTGAATTGGATGATGTCTCCTATCAATTTTATGATTCACGGTCAGAGTCATCGGCAACAACGTTGCGCAAACGGGACAATTTTGAACTTTAAAGGGCATTGCAACATAGTAGGAATAGCAGTGTTGTATTTCTTAAATGCATTTTTTACACAATTCAGCAATGGAAGATCGGGGAATTGGCAAAAGCCTTGTGAAAATCAAGTCGACAATACCTGGATACTTAAAAAAACTTTATTTTGAACATTTTCGAGAGTATTACATTAGAATTTGACCATTCAATAAGATCATTTACTGGACTGTACGTATACTATTACACACAAACCTGTTGCTAGCCATTTGTTATAAGTCAGCTGATCATGTGCAGTTAGGTGAAAGCCATTGTCATTGGTATATCCATCGACATTGTCAGGTTCTACTCCGTCACATCCTTTATCTTGAGCCTTCTTTAATCTAGCAGACATAATACTCTTAACTCTGCCATCTCTTATGTCAAGCCATTTCTCATTCCAACCATCAAGTTTATGGCCTATCACATCACTTGGGAAAGCACTGTGATCAGAGCGCCAATTTTCATATGATCCGGCAGAAAAATAGCAGATTACTTTCTTCCCAGATCTAAACAAAAAAACAAGTTTCATTTAAGAAAACAGCCTTTCGTATTTTAAATAACACACATATCTCAATCCCCTGATTCTACCCTAGGTTCATGATTGGGTTCGTGTTACTCAATCTTTAGTTTTCTTTGTAGTGTTTCGTGGCCGGTTGTTTGTTCTTGTGGCAATATTGTTTGTTCTTGTGGAAATGTTGTTTGTTCTTGTGAAAATGTTGTTTGTGTTCTTGTGACAATATTGTTTGTTCTTGTGGAAATGTTTGTTCTGGTGACAATGTTGTTTGTGTTCTTGTGTAAATGTTGTCTGTTCTTGTGGACATGTTGTTTGTTCTTGTGACAATGTTGTTTGTTCTTGTGGCAATATTGTATGTTCTTGTGGAAATATTGTTTGTGTTCTTGTGACAATGTTGCTTGTTCTTGTGGAAATGTTGCTTGTTCTTGTGGAAATGCTGTTTGTTCTTGTGGAAATGCTGATTGTTCTTGTGACAATGTTGCTTGTGTTCTTGTGACAATGTTGTTTGTTCTTGTGGAAATGTTGTTTGTTCTTGTGGAAATGCTGTTTGTTCTTGTGGAAATGCTGTTTGTTCTTGTGAAAATGTTGTCTGTTCTTGTGACAATGTTGTTTGTTCTTGTGACAATGTTGTTTGTTCTTGTGGCGATTTTGTTTGTTCTTGTGGCCGGTTTTTAGTTCATGTGGCAGTGTTGTTTGTTCATGTGACCGTTTGTTTGTTGGTGTGGTCGGTTATTTGTTCTTGTTGCAGTGTTTGTTGTCTGTCTTCTTCGACTTTTTGTTTTATTGACTTCTCGATTTCTTCTTAATTGCTGTGGAGTATTCTAAGCTGGTTCAAAGGGTAGTTTTGACCTCATTCGGGGGAACCAAGTGCTTTTTAAGTGTACCTCATTAATTTGTATCACAGCAATAGTATAGGACAAAAGGGAAATTATTGTAAAATATAAACTTTATTTAAACATTTTATACTAATTGGATTCAAAATGATTTCAAGTCATTTACACACTTTAACATCAACATTAAATATATTACATTTCCAATTCGGAGCCCTTTTGGGGCATACAGATAGAATGATCCAAATAAAGATAGCAATAATATAAACTATGCTCTGACACATGATATTATTTGAATAATTATATTAAAAGATTTAAGTACAATTTAAATCCTTTGTATAATGTCATAATACAAAATGTTTACAGAAATAACATGTAACCATATATTTAAAGAATGTCCTTGTTTCTTATTCCATAATTAGTTTGCATGAAATTTGAAAGTATGGATAAAATGGTTTTGTCTTAATAATTGAAAAGCCAATAAAATTTTTGCCAATTGTTTAACAATAAATAGTTTTGACATATTTGAACAATCTTATTAGCCATTTGTTGACGTTCATTGGCAAAGGCTGGACATTCGAGCATAATATGTTGTTCAATCTCAACTTCCTATAATGTATAATGAGTGCATAATCGATCTTCTTTTTTCAGCGGCACTTATTGTTCATTTATTTTCTTTTTTTCGTATCGCCTAGTTTCTATACGAAGTTGGTAGTTTTTGATCTATAAAATGTGATAAGTTTACCAGAGTCCAAGCCCTACTCTGTTTAATTGGTGTTCCAAAAATCCTAGAAAATTTTCTCTCAGGCATTTTTTATTATATATTCTGAACTTTTCCTTGTCCCAATGTTTAAGAACTGCCAAATTTATCTTTAGCTTATCTGCAAGCACTTGTACAGTAGTATACCATGATAATATATTTTATCATGTAAAAGTTTATATTCTGCATTTTATATTTCTGCAATGTGGAATAATATATTTAAATTTGAGTCAATTTGATTATAAATCTTATAAATTATTGACATGCAAAATTTGGGTTCTTTTCATGTGTTGTTCTTATATATGCTTACATCACTGCTAATGTTTGAAAACATATTTAAAATTAAAAAAAAAAAAAAAGAAAAAGAAGAAAAAAATAGAGTTTACCTTTGAAGTGAATGTATTGTACTTGTAGACACATCAAACAAATCCACATCATAAACATGTGCATCGACATGTGTGTTTATGTGGCCACTATTGAGCTGCCATTGAAATGTAGTGGTAGCACTTGGTCTCCATATGGCTGCATATACTGTACTTGAGCAAACTAACATTAACAGTGGATTAAGCATGACTACTACGTGACTACGTGGTGTGACTTTGCCTATGGTTTGTTCTTATCTTCCGTCTGAAAGCTTTATAACAACCACTTCATCGGGTTATCTGTTCTAGTCTCGTTCTAGCCAACCCTTTTAACTAATATTAAGTAAGTTTATAAGACTCTGTTAAAGGTACATCCGTGTTCAGAAAGCTAACCACATAATTATTATGAACTTTTGATTGAATTAAAACTGATTTGATATATGGTTAACTTTCTGAACACGGATGTACCTTTAATAGAGTCTTTTGAAAACGAGTCATGCAATCTGAGTGGATGCGGATAATCACGAATTCGTTGTACGTAATGTGAGTAAAAACGTAAAGTAACAAAAAAGTCCGATGCGTTTCATGTTAATTAAAACAAGACTACAATACAAATACCGAGAAAAGTATTCCGAAACACACAGAAACGTTGGCCAAAACGCCGAATGCCACTACATAGTTCTCAAATGGCCTTTTAAACTTTTGCATTTAAGGGACGACCATTTGATATTCTGGGGCCGGGAGAGGCAGGAGGATTTGTGAATGAAAATACAGGATATAAATGTTAACAAAAGTGAAATTAAAAATAAAAATAATCGAGACTCGCAAAAGGTGAAAATCGGCGAGTGACTTTTTTTCAAAAAGGCGTTTAGTTAACGACTTTAATGCACCCACCTAATATACGGCTATATTATATTTCATTCGAAAGCTTATGATCTGTACTTTCCGTTTTGCCTGGTCGTCAATTATTCGAACGGTGCAATTTTCGTTAAACAAAGTCAAAGGTAAAGAATGAACATTCCTGAATTTGACAAGAATTAGATAAATGCCCATTTATGGCTCTTGTATGATATTAAGTTTCTTAAAATCGCAGGAACCTTATAGAACGGAATACCATAATTCCAAATCAAATGCAAATGAAACTGCTAATTGCGCAATATTTACAGAAAATTACAATTCTTACAAAAATCTTTTTCCAGCCTTTAGTTCATATACAAGAATGACACCCCTGTCCTTTATAAATTCAATATTTTGACCCCCCTCAAATGTATAGTTAAAAAATAATGACCCCCAAAAAATATTCTCTATTTTGACAAAACATTATATACATACATATGCATAAACTGTGCAAACCTTAAGATATTATATATTTTCAGAAATATATTTTGCCTCTAGGTAGAAATATAAAACTAAATAGATTGAAAAGAAGTTGGAAACACTGAAATTTCTATTTAGATTATTGTTTCACCATTTCTAGATACAAATGTACATTATGTACTAAATAAATTGATCATAATTCTAAGATTTTCATATTTTATTGAATGCATTACAAAGATGAATTGAGCAATGCCTTACTAAAACATGTGCATAAGTTTTTGAATATAAATGAGGTTTTTCAGTAAATATTTATAAAAGTGAATGGTCATTAATTTCAATTCAATATATATACATGTATTTTGGTTATGACAAGGAGGTTATATGAGAAGGAGAGTGCACACTCTGCTTGATATAAAATTAGCATCCCCAGGATAGCCATTCGATCAATGGAAAATGATAAAAATATAAAGAAACCGACATGTTTTTCACCCACTTGATATGGTTCTCTCATGTACCGGGCTGTTACTGCGAACAGTCCGTGTGATTAGGAGAATCGCTAATGTCACGTGATGTGATTGCAATCGGCGAGTAGGCCACCAAAATACAGGTGAACTTATTTTTACTAATCAGTTTAAACGTGTTTTTATTGTGCAATATCATATATATATATATACTGTCGAGAATTGAGCCATGATCTCAGCCTTATTTTGTAAAATCTCGGTCGGTTTATAACACTTCGGGTGTTTCCGTTCTTACTCGGATGTCTAATTAGGACAAAGTCTCCCTCTGCGACCGAATCGATCTCAACTAATTAACACCCACTTACAGAAAAGGCGGTAACATTTTAAGTGTAATTATCGTCTTTCGTGCATTCTCCTTCTCATATAACCTCCTTGGTTATGACAATCTACATAAAATTTTCACATCATGCATGATCATGAATCTTACTTGTTATCTAGTTATTCTGACTCTGTCGGCATGATATTGAACTGTTTGTTCACAGTAATTCCTCAAAATACTATTTGAGTATTTCTATTTATCTCTCCAGACCCCAGCTGTGATAGCTCATAGAAAGTAGTTTACAATTGCAGAAGTTTTAATGCATACACTTCTAAAATGTATTTCCTATTTATTTTATTTTAGATGTACAATTTTTTTTCATACAAATTTTTGACCCCCCCCCATTTTAGCTCATTATAAAATTTCACCCCCCAAAAATTATTTGCCAAAAACAATTGACCCCTCTATAATTATCCAGCCCCCACAGCTGGTAAATAATGACTGTTCCCTAAAAGCAAAATATTTCTTGAGGTATCAATATTCATATTAAAAAAAAAAAGTGAAGTGATTTCTTTAATCATTTTAAACTGCAATTACTATAATATTTGTCAGGAATCAGCCTTCTAAGGAATCTTTTGCAGTTGCCCTAAATATCACCACTTGCAAATAGGGATAATTTTTCCCCTCTTTGTTTAGATAACACATCGATTGTTGTAAATATCAGAAGAAAATAATTTACCATATTTGAAAATGGAAATAAAAGTGCTTTAGGGAATGAATATACAATGTATATACAGTAAACATATGCTTTTTTGATGTCGAGTGGAAGACATGTTAATAAGTTTATTCTCGATCAATATTCGAATGAATACTATTTGCACCACACGCTTTTCAATCACAAGTCCGGCTAATTGTTTTTGTTTTATGTTAGCACATTATAACATACTCTATTAGTTGTTTACTCAAATATGACTGAAAATTAATATTGTGGAAGATTGATTACTCTTCCTGCGGAACTGCGATCACCACAGGTCTTATGTAGTGTTCGTACAGTTCAGTGTAGTGTTTTGAGGACTGTTGTTTGTCCTACTCTTTGCTTTGGTCATGGTGTTAAATGTGTTTCTTCGGATATGCGTTTTGACTGCATCCTTGTTATCTTCTTCCTTCTTTCGACCAAGGAAAAGATAACCAGCTTGTTTAAAGTTAAGGGAATTAATGAAATAACAACAGAACTTAAAACTCATATATCGATGTGTGTGTGTGTGTGTGTGTGTGTGTGTGTAGCAAAAATGTAGGAATCATCTTGTCCCTACTACCATTTGTCTTGGTTCTTTCCATTCATATGTCCATCCTTTAGTCTAACAAACTTTGTAATGTTTCCTTCTTCATCGTTTGGTAGATTTTAGTGAAGCAATTCAAATTCACAATTACAAACCTGTTTATATTTCTTGATTAACAACATATTTGTTACGTTTTGAGGACGTGTTTTTCAACAAACTATCGACATTTTCATCGAAACTAAATGTGCTCTTCTTCTTGTCGACTTGTTCATTTATTCATATGAGGCTGACTTCATACAGGAGCTTCTAAGGAAGAATTAAAAGAAGCTAGCATTATCCTTTAACTTCACTTTCCGCTATATAGATGATGTCTTTTCACTAAAAAATTCATTCAATAAATAGTTTTGTGTTTAAACTAACTAACGACATTTTTACCACTTCTTAGATTGTGGTTTACCATCTACATCGTCTGTCTGCTAAGTACCGAACGTGACCTATTCCCGAAGATGACTGTTTTGCCTAGTGTGAATTCGCATTGCTATACGACGTGTCTCGGTATTTATACATCCAACATTCATGTATTTAGTTATGATGTTTCATTTGTAAGTACGGTTAGATATTGTGTTATGTCTTATCGTTTGTGGTTTGAATTCTTTATTTTCGGTACATTTCACATATGTCTTATTTATCAGTATAGTTAAGTTAATTTCCATTTTCTATGGATAAAGTATTGTGTTAGTCCAAATAATTATGATGTCTTCACAGCATTAATTTAAAATAGCCTTTCAAGACCGTCATAATCATGATAATTATTTGGACTAGTATTGTGAAAATAATTGTTAATTTTTGGATCTCGTTCCATGTAATTGTATGAATTTCAAGATTACATATACGTCACAAAATACGTCACTGTTTGTGGTGTCCTGTGCTGTCGTTAATGGGAGATGTCCGTTGTTATTCTTTGGTTAACATGTTGTAATGTACTATCATATTATTTATTTATGCATTTCTCTGTGCTGAGAGTTCTTGCGTTTGTTTGTGTAGTAGTGTTGTCATTTTAGCAATATTTGTTAAGATTGCAATATAAGCGAGAGGTTTGGCTAGCCATAAAACTAGGTTCAACCCACCATTTATTTTCTTAAAACGTCCTGTACCAAGTCAGGAATATGGCAGTTGTTATCAAATAGCCCCTTTCTATGTATGTTGGCGTTTGTTTTTGTAACAGTTCAGTGTTTCTGTTGTTTCGTTGTTTTCCTCTTATAGTTATAGTTGATGTGTTTCCCTCGGTTTAAGTTTGTAACCTGGATTTGTTTTCTCTTAATCGATTGGTGACTATTGAACAGCGGTATACTACTGTTGCCTTTATTTGTGACTATGTTGAATGCATCTATCCCATCGAACTTGAAATAAAGGATACAATAGATACAGTTAAGTTTGCCTCATATCTTGACTTACATCTAAAAATTGACAACGGAGATCAGTAGTAATAGAAGGAGAATGGACAAAAGCAGATTGTTATGCACTACTGCACAAAATTAACACATAGTGCTAAATAAACAGTAAGACATTGTGGATGTTGAGCTTCCATAACATCAACAGAAATCATTTATTATCATGCAAAAGATAAAACAAAACAAGAAAGTGTGCGTCTAGAGATTCAAGAACATAACAAAAAAATTGTTAATTATCATGCAAAAGCTAAAACAAGAAAACGTGCATCTAGAGATTCAAGAACATAAAACAAAAATTGTTAATAATCATGCAAAAGGTAAAACAAGAAAATGTGCATCTAGAGATTCAAGAACATAAAAAAATGTTAATAATCATGCAAAAGGTAATACAAGAAAATGAGCATCTAAAGATGAGATTCAAGAACATCAAAAGAAATTGTTAATAATCATGCAAAAGGTTAAACAAGAAAAAGTGCATCTAGAGATGAGGTTCAAGAACATCACAAGAAATAGGCACGATCATGCAAAAGATAAAACTAGGTAGAAAGAATTACATACAATGACAAGATAGACTTG